GCACACGGCACCTGATGGACAGCAGAGGCCCTGTGGAAAGAATTTTGTTTTACATGGCCCAAGGGGATAGAAACCCAAAAAATGCAACAGAAAATGAAGGTGGAACAGAGCAGTGAGAAAAAAAGATCCTGAGCACCAGTCAGGAGATTGTTTTCCTGACTCTTTGGGGATAGATTCACATGGAAGTAGAAATAACTGAGATCATTGGTTGGAGACCTTGTTTTGTTTTTTAATTTTTTGTTTATTATTTCTTAAGAAAAATCACATGAAAGATGTAGAACAGAACTGAGTCTTCCACTCTCCTAGATGAAACAACAGCTGTGTGTTGGGGGTTTCTAGATCTGCAGTTTGGTCTGGGGCTTTTGCCACCACTAACCCCAGTTTGAAGGTGTCACCAGGGAGGTTAGCCACAGGACCCTGTGCTTCTTAAAAGAAACAGGGCCAGCAACTGCCTGCTGCAGCTCACAAAGAGGCACCTGCCCTTCCTCAGGTTTGCAAGCCCAGCTCCCTGCCTTCAAACTGGTCTTGTTTCCCCCACTCCTGACAACCATTACTAAGGTCAGCTCCAAGGCACAGCTCCCTCACCACTTCCCCTTGCCATGCCACCACCCTGGCTCTAGGTTTCATCACTGAACTGAGCCAGATCACAAAATACGATGTGTTGTAGCACATGAGTCCACTCTATAACCTGGCCCATGCCCTCAGCCTAGTCTTTTAAACACAAACAGCATGCCACTCTTCCTGATTTGTGGAAGGCAAGAACTGAACCTTCACATAAGGTTGTCCCCTCCATTTGTACAGAGCCCGGTACAATTCTTGTTTTCGGCTTTCTCCTCAGGTGATGTCTGGTCCACCGTTCTGCAGCATTCAGCAGCCTGCAGACATCAGAGCAGCTCCCTTACTGAACACCCTTCCTGGGTGTACATGGTAAGGAAATACTTGAGTTGAGTTGAAGCCTACACTGGAACTACAGTCTAACATTTAGTCTCAGTCTGGTCTTGCTGTACCTGGAACTGAAACCAGGGTTTGGTTAATTGTCCCATCTGCCAGGTTTCAGAACATCCTCTTGACAAGCTCCTCATTTCACCTTCGTGCTGTTGTTGCCCTCCTTGCTCACAGAGCTCCCCACAGTCTTTGGCCCTGCAGTTTAACAATATTATCTACTGCAGCACCACCCCCAAAGCTGCTTTAAGAATAGTCATGGATAATGTTGGTGTGCTTGTTTCCTGTATACATCGTTCCAGTTCAAAGTAGCTTCTTACCAGTTCCTCCAAACCAAATACCCACAAAGAAAAGAAATAAGTACACATTTCATCTCTCAGGTGGTCCTTCACTGCTGTTGAGAAACCTTCCAACACTCATTCCTCCACAGGTCTTTGCATGCAAAAAGGCCTGTAATCAGGTGGCAACTTCAGAGCTTTGCCTTAGATTTTGTATGATCAGTATGATGACCTCACTGCTTCCAAGCATGGAGCACTCAGCCCCCCTTACTCTAAGCCAGTGGCTATTCTAGGCATTGATCCAGCAAAATCTCCAGCTTGGTTAATCAGGTTCATCCTTGTCTACATGTGCCTCAGGACTTTGCTCAGCACTGATCCAGCTGCTGACTGGGATGGCAACAGGTCTCTGCAGCTGCTCTCCCTGTGAGTGTGGCTATTTAGATAACACTCTGTTCTGCATTATCCTAACCAAATTTTCACCTACCTGATTTCTCAGGCCCATCAACTTACACGGCTGCAGTTATTTAGCCACCAGCCTGCCATAGTGCAGAGTGTACCAGGGACATGAGGAAATTCTTTGAATTTCAAACATATATGTTTACTGTGGAGGAATCTGCAGCTGGAGGGAGGAGCTGTGAGAATGCAATGCTAAGGAAATGTTTGCTGAAAGCATTTAAAAAATAACCAGAGCATGAAGCAAGGGATAAAAAGCAACATTTTACTGGAAGTGCAGACCAAAACTGAGGACTGTATTTAGGAGCATAGATGGAACTCTAGTGAACTGAAGCTGAGTTGGGGGAGGTTTAGGTTAGATATCAGGAAAAAGTTCTTCATCCAAAGTGTGATTGAGCACTGGAACAGGATCCCCAGGGAAGTGATCATAGCACCAAGCCTGACAGAGTTCAAGAAGCATTTGGACAGTGCTCTCAGGCCCATGGTGTGATTATCAGGGTGTCCTGCACAGGGCAAGTCGTTGGACTCAGTGATCTAATAAGTCACTTCCAACTCGCATATTCTATGATTCTATGAACTGGTTTTGGATTGTCCTCTGCTCATGGCCAGCGAAAGGATAGCAGGCAGAGCGGTGCTCACAGCCAGCCCCAGTGGGGCTCTACAGGGTAGCTGCTCACTGCAGGCAGTGGGGCTGGGGCTGGAGCTTCTCTGCTGTCTGGAGCAGGCCTGGCACTGAGTAGCTCCATCAGTTGCAGCCTCAGGAGCAATTTCTCCTCTCAGCTTGACAGCACAGTTGATTTTTTCCTGGCTCTTCCAGTGAGACACATTAGGCCCCAAAGCACCTCTTTTAGGCTCTTTCTGCACGATATCCCTTGGAAATGTGCCTTGCTGCCACTTTCTGGCATGCTAACCTGGCCTACCAGCTGTCTGAAGCTGGGCATGCAAGCTTGGGCTGGGACAGGGGTGTTGGAAAGGACAGCAATGAGATTCTTGCAGCTCCAGCCTGGCAGGTGCCTGAACTCCTACTGCGCCCCGTGGCCCCCGCCCCTCTGTGGGATGCATGGGAGCCACAGTGGTTCTGTCAGTCGGCACTGCACCATCCTCAGGGGAGCCGGCTGCAGGCCGCGGAATGCAGCTAGTAACTATTGACTTCTTTTTCCGTGCATGGCCGGGTAAGAAACCTTAATTAAAAACATGAAGCCCACAGTTTGTATCACATTCACGATGTTAAACAAGCTCTGGAAATAGAAACGCTGTTTTCATTTAAGCTTTTCAACTGTGATCTAAGTAATAAAATATGGAGGGGGCGGGCGTGTGTGAGATTTACATGTGATGATTTGGGAGATCTCACTGCTTTAGAGGCTTGTAAGGCGCCGCAGTGCCAACTGCTCCTGCCACTGCCTCACCGCGTTTGGCAACGCCTGCCCCACACAGACTTTTGGTTTTTTCCAGAGCCGCTTTCCAAATGCTGATTTCTGCCATCGGCTCTTTTTGCTGTGATTTATTCTGGGTGTGGGTGTGAGATGTGCCAGGCCCTCAGCAACCTGCTGCCCTGGCTGCCCGTTCCCTGCCCAGCTCTGCATGGGCAGGCAGGTGAGTAGCACGCAGTCCCATGCTCCTGGCGACCACAGATGTCCTTGAGGACAGCCATGTACCCTGCCAGCACAGACAACAATCCCCTGAGCCCATGCCCAAGCAGCACCATCATCAGTAGACACAGGGAAGGATTATCTTTGTCTTCACAGATCCTCCTGAGCCACCACACAGAGAATGAGCATCCATTCCACCATGGTGGACAGGCAGGAGGGAAGGGGCTTCCAAGGGCACTTGCTTAGTACCCTGCAGTGCCTGGGCTGCCACTGCTCCAGAAGCTGCCTCAGTCTGCTGGGCCCACAGGACCCTGCTGAGCCCCATCTGCACCTCCTCTCAGGAGCTGGGGACCAGAGCCTGCTCCTGCCTTGCCAGAGGGGATCACCCCTGCTGTGCCAGAGATGCTGGGACAGGAGAGTGGGAAGACAACAGGACAAACACTTTACTGAGGCTGCAAACGATTGAGATTACCTTCTTGTTTCACTGGATTGAGCAGGAACCCTCAGGCCCTTGTTTTTGATCAAACCTGTCACTTTCTCAGACTCCTTTTGCTGAGATATAATTATAACAATACTTCCCAACTCATAAACAGTTCAGCTGGGCATGATTGGAGCTGTTTGTTTTTCAGGAAGCCCCTAAACAGCATGTTAGCACAGACTAACAGGAGACATTCGACCCACAGTGATCCCCTATGCCCCCTTCTTCCCCAGCTGGTTCTGAGTGCTCTGGCCAGGGCACTGTGGGGCAGCCTTACCAGGGCTTTGCCCAAAGGTCAGTGGAAGTGTGGGATACATGGCCTGCACAGAAGCACTCCCGTGGTCATTTACACCTTTTTCTACCTTTTGTTTTCTCATCAGGGCACTGGCAGCAAGTTTTTCATGTTTTTTTCTCCCACCCCGGGGACAGCAATTTTTCTCCCTAAACTCTTCAGTGCATTGCCCTTCTCCACCCTCTCTCCTGCTTCCCTTCAGCAAATGGAGAAATTACAGTCGCGTCGGTGATTCCCGACGCCAAGGTGCCTCCCTCTTCCAGCGACCCTTTCCCCAGTGCGTGTGGCTGTGTGACGTCGCAGAGAGAGTCCGTGACCTCACGCCCCTAAGAGGAGGAGTGCGGGGATGGGAGTGAATCCCAGAAAACACCCCACGGCGGGGCAGAAACGGTGCGGCTGAGCCCGGAGCGGGGGGCGAGAGGGGAATTCTCGGACCGGAGTGCAGCAGGTACCTGCCCCCTCTGTCCCCACCGCTCCAGCGCAGAGCCCGTGGAGAACCGCGCTCCCCTCCGCGGTGGCCTCTGCAGCCCGGGAAGACGGGTGGGGACAAGGCCAGGGTGATGGCAGGGGGCGAGGGAATACAAGAGGTAGGAGCTATACCGACTCAGGTCCTTTGGGGTCACACTTGCGGGGGCAAGGACAGGGACAGCGATGTGTCACGGAGAGCGTGGGGTCGCGCGTGGTACGGGCACGGGGTATCCGCGCCGCGCACATGCCGCCGTGCCCGCGGGCGCAGACGGCTGCTCCCTGTTCACCCGCGGCGGTCAAATAGCGTCTGAATTACATCCTTGTAAATATTGACTGTGGCCATCTTCTCCGTTTCTGCGCACAGAAAACCGAAATGTTAAGCCCGCCGGGGCCGGGGCCGGGCTGCTGCGCCGGAGGGCGGCGCGGGGTGCGGGGGGTGTGGAGCGACGGGGCCGGGGGAGCCGGGGCACTTCCGTGGGAGCAGGACGGGGCCCCCGCAGACATCTCCGGCTACCGAGCATCGCATCTGTGCGAGAGCGCGCTGGTCGCGCCGAGGATGCTAAAGGCAGCGGGCTGTCTCCCTGCTTGGGCTGTGGGCTAATTTATAATCCTTGGGCGGGGAGAAGGGGGTAGAGACGACACACAAGAGAAGACGGAGAAGCGTGGGGGGAGATGTTTCCTGGTATGGCTTCATTAAACCCCGGCGTTAATGAGTGGCACAGGGCTGCGGCTGCTCCCCGCGTCCCCGACGAGGGTCTCTCCCGCGACCAGCGTGACGCTAGCCGGTGTCCTCAGCCGCCTTCCCCGGGGGACGCCCCCATACAGACGGTGGACTGCCCAGCCGTGCACTGCCGTCCCCTCGGATGCCCCTGGCCGGACTCCTACCGCCCCTCGACGCACCGCCCCTCGACGCCGCGCTGCCCGGGCGGGGCCCGTGCCCTTGCTGGGGATGCTGGGGTCCCCTCGCTGGCGGTGACTTCCCCTGGGGATGGGGAGCGGCGGTCCCGACAATGTGAGTGGCTGCGCGGCGGCTGTGCCTCCGGGCACCGGCTCTGCGCATTTGGTGGTCGTTAAAAACAACTTGTTTCCCTCCCCGTTTGGGGAGGAGGAAGGGAAAAATCATTCCGGGGTAGGGGAGGGGAGGGGGAGGAAAAGGGGGGAAAAAAGGAGTGAGAGAGAGAGCAAGCGAGAGAGAAACACCAAACCCACAGAAAACCCGCGCTCTGAACTATTGCGACACGGAGCGAGGAGCGCGGCGGAGGCCGGCGGCGAGGTGCGAGTGGGAGCGGGCCGGGCCGAGGGAGCGGGCCGGGGTTGGGTGGGGGGGCCGTGGGAGCGGGCCGGGCCGTGGGAGGGACGGGCTGCCTCGCCCCCGTGGGTGGGCAGGCGGCGCCCGGTGCCTCCGCGCTGCCCCCCCGCCAACCGTGCCGGGCGGGTCTCCGCGGTTCGGCGCGGCTGCCCGGTCACCGCTGCCGCCTCCCCGCAGCGCACAGCGAGCCCCCGCACCTCGGAGCCGGCGGCCAGCACGACGGCGGCCCCCAGCCCCCCACCATGAACACCATCGTCTTCAGCAAGCTCAGCGGCCAGGTGCTTTTCGAGGAGGACGCCAAGGAGCGGGAGCGGAGCGGCCGGCCCTACGTGGGGGTGGTGGAGGGCCCACACCACGCCGAGGTGCTGCTTCCCGACAGCCCGTCCATCAAGGAGAGCCTCAGCCTGCGCAACCGGCGGACAGGGTATGCCGAGCGCTCGTCTCCGCGCCGCGCACCGGCTTCGGGGGCGACCCTGCCTGCCGGCGCTCCCGGTCGCCGCGCCGCCGATTTGGGGTTGCGAGATGGGTTTGTGTCTGGGTCCTCCCCCGAGTCCCCCGATCCGTACTCTCTGGGACTCTCATTCCTCAGCTATGGTGGGAAATTCCGGCAATAGGTGATGCAGGGGCGTCCGATCGGGCTGGAATGTGCCAGGCAGAGAGCTCCTGTCCTCCAGCGCTTGACCTCCCCTCTGGCTCCCAACAAAAACAAACCGGGGGCAACGGGGCTCCCTCGGCTTGTTCGGGCGCTTCAGGCAGTTGAAGTCCCCAAAAGAGAGGCGCCGGGCGGGACGTGCGGGACTTGGGGGACGGGGCGGCGGCGGTGCCGTGGCCGCGGTTCGCGTTCGGGGCTGGGGCGGGCGGGCGCTGTGCGGCCCCGGCACTTGTTCCGCCGGCCCCGCAGCGCGCCGAGCGAACGGGCGGGAAGGACCTGCGATGTCGTTTCGTTCCCAGGGACAGGATTTAGAACAGGCTAGCGAGATGCCAGTCAGGAGCTGGATTAGGTGATGGTAGGATCGGTTTTGCTAGAACGGGAAAACGGCAGCTGTGGCTGAGCTGCCTGTGGCTGCTTGCTTTTTTTTTTTTTTTTTTTTTTTTTGTGCTGGAACAGGTGAATTGGTGATCAGAAGATGTACGAGCTCCGGCGCGTTGTCAACCGTAGCTCGGCGGGTTGAATTGGCGAGCGCTGACCAGACATTTCGGGTCAATGTCACAAAGTAAAGACCGAGGAGCGCAGTCAGGCGGCTCCGAAAACGAGGAGCCCCGGGGAGCTGCTTGTACTGCCGAATTTCCACCTTAGCGATTGCATCAGCTCGCAGTTTTACCGGCGGTGCTGGCCGAGAGGACGCGGCTTGTGTTTCACCGCAATGTTATTGCAGCCGATCGCGGCGGAGCGGGGCTGCCGAGGGAGCCCCGGGCGAGGCAGCTCCTGCGACCGTTCGGCCCGGCTCCGCACGGCCCCGCATGGCCCGGCCCCGCACCGCCCGGCCCCGCACGGCCTCGGGGCGCCCCCTGCCGCCATCGCACGGAGCCCCCTCCTCCTCGCGCGGCGCTGCCGCCGGCCCCGGCCCGCCTCTGGCTTTCCCTTCCGATTCCCTCGGGTTTGTTCGCTCACTTTTTATTTGAGGCTGTTTTTTACGAAGAGACACCTTTGCCTATTTTTAATTTTTTTTTTTTTTTTTTTTTTTAACTGAGCCCGCGTTTCATTTCCCCGGTATACTCCGTTTCCCTCGGCAGGCGCGGGGCTCAGCGGGCTGCCTCGCGTCGCTGCCGGCGGCGGTGGCAGCGGCACGCCGGCTCCCCCAGAAACACCGAGGAGAAAAATGACCCGGGAGCTGCTCGGTGCCGCGGGTATCTCTGAATATCACCGGCAGATAAATCCAGGCGGGATGTCAGGCTCGGCTGGCCCCGGGGCAGCGCGCACCGCAGCCGTGGAGTGTGCGAGGAAAGCCGCTCTGTAAACAGACCGGTCACACGCCTCGCAGGTGCCGGGCACCACTTTACACCGGCGGAACCCTGGCCCTGCCGAAATCCCCGCAGAGCAGCCGCTCGGGCCCGCGGCGCTGTCGCGGCCATCCGCCCGCTCTGGGTCTGTTCTCCCAGACCCTCCACGGGAAGTTTGGGGAGCTGTGGGCATCGCTTTCTCCTGAGCAGCCGGCCGGGGCAAGGGGGGCGGCCGTGAAAGTCCCCGAGCACCTCGTGAGGACGGGGCTCGGCTCCCTCGGGCAGGGCACACCCCCGGGCAGGACCAGACCCGAACGGGACGCATCCCGGGGCTGGGGCACCCCGCGGACAGGGCGCTCCTATCGCCCCCGGCGGTGCGACCGCGCCGAGGAGCCGGGTCCGGGCGGGGGGAGCGGGCGGGTGCCCCTTAGCCCCGGCCCTCAGCGCCCCTTCTCCGCGGCAGGGCGCGGCAGAGCGGCGGGAAGGTGCGGCACAAGCGGCAGGCGCTGCAGGACATGGCGCGGCCACTCAAGCAGTGGCTCTACAAGCACCGCGACAACCCATACCCCACCAAGACCGAGAAGATTCTGCTGGCCCTCGGCTCCCAGATGACCCTGGTGCAGGTAAGGAAATCCTCTACCACCGCCTCTGAGGCTGCTCTGGGGCGTTTCATGGACGAGAGAGACTGGGACTGTGTCAATGAAAGCTCCTCTGTGAGCTGAGCAAAGGGCAGCGCTGGGTATCGGGGAGCATCGGTGCAGCCAGCAAGACCAGGGGTCCCGTGTGCATCCTTCCTCCACCCTGCCCAGGGCTCCCCTGCCCCAGCAGGAACGTCTTTCCCAAGTAAGAATTACCACATCTGAGCTATCCTGTGTGGTGAAGTGCTAAAGACTATCAGCAAAAGGTGTGTGCTTGCCCTCCTAGGAATAGATACTCTCATCCTTTCATCTCATTCATAAGTACAGTGAAAAATACTTTTACTTAGTCTTTAAAAGCATTCATGTAAAAAAAAAATCAGTGATGGGAGATTTCAGCGCAGAATAGGAATTGCTGAGGAAATTGTATGGAGCTACTCTTTTCCCTTTCCAAAATGGGCTAGGATGAAAACTGTTCTATTGTTCTGATAATAATTGTCATCACCTGTTGCACAGACATTAGTGTTACCATACGTGCTGTGTTCAGCAGCTCAGCACAGAGTGACTGCGCTTCACAGCCTTGCAGGAATTATCACTGTAGTGTAATTAGACATGGGGAGTAATTATTTTTCTCTCAGGTAATACTTTCCCTGAAATGACTGACAGTTGTCTTGCCGTAAGAGGCATAAAGTTTGCTGCAAATGTTCATAAATCTTAACTTCTTTGTTCTCTTTGCCATCTGGCACTCTATTGAAATATGTGGTTAAATGCTATCGGTTGCCGAGTGATGCTATCTCAGGTCTGGATGCTGAAAAGATTTATGCATTGTGAATAATCAAATTTCCTTACTGCAGGTTACTGCTAGGTGCATAAAATGAAACCCGTGTGTTTGCAGGATTGGGTCCTCGGCACTCTGCCTAACACATTATGTGTCACTTTGCAAAGGACACAAAGAGATCAAAATAGCACGAAGTATTAGAAAAAGTGGGTGGTAATTAATGATTATTATTTTGAGTTCTACTTCAAAAAAACCTGTGGTATGAACTTCAGTTCTAGCAAAGGAGAAATGAAAAACTTTTACACTGTAGTACCTCACTGTAAAACTACTACACTAGAAAAAACACTATAACTTTGACAAAAATAATATTAATGTCTCAGAAAATGCCAGTTATAACTGGAAGATGTAGTTAAAACAATTTCTCTTGCTTTTAAAAAATATACATGAAAGGTTTGCTCAGACTTTTAAAAATATGATTACATAAACACTATACTTTCAATGGCACAATTCAACAGGAGTACTTTATTGGACTATGACTTTTAGAATATTCCTGTATGGGGTTTAAAACATACATCCATGTTGGGAGACTTTCACAGTAATATCATCTTGAGGAGTTCTGCTCTTATGTAAATGCCTCGGAACGAATAGACAAGGGAAAAAAACCGGTGGGTTTTTGCAGCATGTCTCTCATGGCAACTTTGATAAATCCTGATGGGGATAAGCTGTATTAGCCTCTATAAAAGCATAAAGTGAGCGATGGCCACTACTCAAAAGAGTTTTATGATCTACATAAGGTGTAGACTAAAATTACAAATAATCAAGGAGGGTTATATTTAGCTCTCTGAGACCCCCGTGACTCTCATGAATTTGAATTTGGCCAGCCTTGTTTCTCTGTACTGTAATATTTGAAAGAACTGTGCAAACAGGCACATCTATCTTCCTTTAGAGAAGCACACCATCAGAAAGAAACCCCAGGTGTTTCTTCCATCATTTAGGTACAGTGCTCTTTTAACCCAGGAATACTATTGCATCTGTATGAGATGTAAATACACAGGTCTGGCACCAGCAGTAGTTCCAGAGTCTGGAAGAACAAAACAACACATACTCCACACTTACTTTCTGGATACTCAGAAAGGACAAGACTGTAATCCAGATGAAAATTTTTCTTCTCAGAAAGAGCATGGTTAGCTGTGATCTCAGTCACATGGGGTACATCTGAAATAGCTTCCCTGGAGGCTGTGCTCTTTCAGATGAGTAGTATAACCAAGACCAGGCTGGGACTGGGCTTCAGTGTCTCTTGGAAAGTTTTGCTTCTGTCCCAGGAGGGACAGTTTGCAAAAGCATCAACCAGGGTTGCCTGCAACTTGCTTTTCTAATGAAGTAGCATTGTTGGACACTGTTGAAGATCCAGAAGTCAGTGTATGATGCTTTCCTTGGATTACATGCCTTCATGTCCCATATTTCCTACTCTTTTTCCGGTTTTCGGTGCTGTCCCGTGGTGATTGCTCCCACAGCTTTCTACTCCCATGGAGGCAGTTGTCAGGTGACAGCTCCATCCTCTTTTCGGGATCCATCAGGTGCTGATGCCTTGTCGTTGCAAGCCCTAGGGGAGGCAAAAGATACTGTTGAAAATCCCTTTTAGTTTCTGCCAAACTGCTGTTTGGAGAATGAATAGTTGGGTTATTTTGTTTTTCTCCTGACTGATGACCTTGGAAGAGGTCAACTGCCTGGAAGATGAGGTTGATCATAGTAATTTAGATACTATAGCTATAACTCTTCTCCCCGTGCTTTTCTTTCATCTAATGAAGCTTATTCCAGTATGTACCATCTATGCAAGGAGCTTTTGCAGGTCCTGGCATAGATAAAACCAACTCTTCTGTGAGACAAAGAGTGAACATCCAGCCCTGTTTTTTACTTCTGCTATTAGGACAATATTTACATGTCAAATCTTCCACAACTTTATTTTCATTAATTTTGCTGTCACCCAATTGGCTGATTTTACATTAATTTATTCTACCTCACTAATACTTTGGCTTATTCTTCTGTTCCTGGGTGCAGTGGGACAGCAAGTGGACTATTCCAGCTGCATGTCCGACTGCACTGCTGAACAAAAGTCAGAGTCTTTCAAGGAGATAGGATTTTTCGGGAATCATAAATCATCTTGTTTCTTAAGGAGCAACAGCAAAACCTGGGGCAAATTCTGGGCTAACTTACTCCTGTGCAGGCCAACAAGGTCTTTGGGAGTCCTCAAGGCAAATGTTATTGCAGATTTCAGTCCAACAGTCCAGAGTTTTCTACTTCCATAACTGCCAAAGCAGGAAACCAAAAAAGCAATATAGTTTGAAAAGGCATTTTATGTTTTACTCCAATTAGATTCCAATTCAGAATCCAATAATTTGTCCTATTAATATGCTACATTTTTATTTGTATTATTACCACAGTGCTTGATTTATTTCATTTTAAATTTTGGTTAGATGTTCTTGTGAAATAAAAAAGAAAAATGGTTGTATATTCCTTCCAGAAAGAAATATGAATGGGTGTATTGTTGAGGAGAAAGTTTTTCAATATGAGGATTAATATATTGGTCATGTGGTGCTACGGATTTAATAGTATTCAGATTTATAAAAGCATATCTGGATTACTGGAGGAGGAGAATTGCTTGATGTCTGTTCCTTTACTGAAACTGGCCACTCTTAAGCAGTGAAGCAGAACAAATTACAATAAAAATTAGGAAGTCTCTTCTAAAGTAAAGCCAAAGGGTCAATATTTCATGATGCCGATTTAAGTACCTGATGATCTTTGGGAACAACTGAGCTGCTGTAAAAAAAATGAATGCTGGAAAGAACATCTGTTGTCATTCCTCTTGGGTTTTATCTTTTTATTTCTTGAAGAACTACATGATCCTTACTTTACCAGAATAGTGAATTTCATCATGTGTGTTTTTCAAGATACTTAGTTCTTGGGAGGTTTCTGTGACAAAGATTTTCTCACTGGCTTGTATGTAAATCGTTGTTTTTGGGGGTTTATTATTTTTGGAAGTCACAGTAATGTAACTTGGGACTATGGTAACAGATGGACATTTTTGGCAGCTTTGGTTGTTTCTTTTTGCAATAGTTTAGGCAAATGTGGTGCAAACAGGCACTTGTGAGTAGGAACTACAGCAGCAGGCATAAAGCTTTTAAAAGACCGCATGGATAGACAATGTAACATTTTGAAATTGGCTGTAAAGGAGCCAGGAAAAACCTATAATAACCCAGGTGGTTGCTGTGGGTCAAAATGAAGGTGCTGTCTAGTACAGCCTCTTCCAGATTGCACGGCTGGAGGTTGTCCCCTCCTGAAGAGTGGGAGAGGTGTCGAATCTCGTGATGTCTTAACAACCAAGATCTTCCAGTGACATATACCAGTGCCCAAGAGTAGGAAAGCACCCAGAGATACCACATCACAGATTTAGCCTAAAAAATCTCTTAAATGGATTTGCCTCACTTTTCTTCAGCTTTGTTGGGCCTTGTTGTAATTGCATTTAGGATAAGGGTATCTGGAATGGATTTGCTACTTTGTGCTTTAGAAGAAGGCTTCTCTTCTAAAAACTGACTTTGGGCTCTTTCAGAGTCATAAAATCATTTAGATTGAAAAAGACCTTTAAGATCATCAAGCCGAACTGCAAACCCAGCACTACCAAGTCCACCGCTAAACCACGTCCTTGAGCACCATGTCTACACTTCTGTTAAAAATCTCCAGGGTTGGTGACTCAACCATGGTAACTTCCCTAGGCAGCCTGTTCCAAAGAGTTCCAGAACCCTTTCTGTTCAAGGATGAACCCAGGAGAATGCTGTGGGAAACTGTGTCAAAAGCTTTACTAAGGTCCAGACAGACACACCCACAACCTTCCCCTCATCCACTAAGTGGGTCCCCTTGGAGGGGATCAGGTTGGTCAAGCAGGACCTTCTTTTCACAAACCCATGCTGGCTGGGCCCGATCCTATGATTGTCCTATATGTGCTGTATGATGGCACTTAAGATGATCTGCTTCGTAAAGAGCAGGAGGACAAGGTTCAGTATATTTATCTCATTATGAGATAATGATCAAATACTACTATTTCCTTCTCCCATGGCAGAAGACTTAAAATACGACTCATCTTTTCATACCGATATGCAGAAAGCAAAGCATTGGCACGGGAAGAATGAGCCCAAAATAAACCAAGAGTACCATGCAGAAATCACTCTGCTAAATTTAATTGCTTTTATGTATGAGTCACTCTAATACTATCCTATCTTTCTTCTCTGTATATGGCACTTCACTGATGAAATATTTCAATATGTAATGAAATGCAGCATAATGAAATCTTTCTTGTGAGAGGTTGGAAAGCTGTCAAGTTTTGTAAAATGCTGCAGTAACTGCTGTCGTGTTCAGTGAGACCCTGGATTGATCCATCTCTATTGTTAGTACTTGATTTCAGAGTTGCACTAAGTCATATGGTGGCCAGGTGACTGCTCCTTCAGCTGAACAGTCTGGAGTGAGTTTGTTAACAGCACTAGAAAGTGCATGGATTCCAGCTCACCCTTTCTCATTTACAATAAAAATTGCTGTGTCAATGTGATTAATATAAACAAGTAGTTTTGGAATAGAATGAAGATTGCTTACTCTGCCAGCTACAGTTTTGGTCTTCTAACCTGCCATAGAAAACTACATGGCTTGTTAAGTTACGTGTTTGGCATCTGAACGCTGATCCAGGGCTCACTGTATTTTCGGTGGAACCCTGTTTCATGTAAATGGGATTTTAAGGAAAATCTAAGTGACAGGTTTAGGATGCCACTACTGAGTTCTGGGTGTGACTCTGAGCTGAAGTTTTGTTTTTCCTTTAAGCAGATAGTGCTTATTTTTTTCATAATCACCTGAGAAGGGATTATTGATCCAGAATCATTAGACAGATACTTCTGTGTGATTTATACAATCTTAGCTATAATAGACAGATGACAAAACTATGTCCAAAATCCAACAGTGAGATCTACAGTTTGGCTCTCTATTATATGGGATAGCATGTATTAATAAAACATGTTGTTAACTTGCTTTGAAGGTTATCACGAGTTAAATGATATGATCATTCCCAGGTCAGAACATGATGGTAGTGGTCTTGATTTCTCTGTGTGCATGTTCACAGCACAAAGATGTGAGTGGGGCTATAGGCTGCTGACATTCTTTACGTGCTCCTTTGCAATTAGTGCTATTCTGCCTCCTTCTTGCAGAGGTCATGTCAAAATACACTTATTCCTTCAAGGAGTAGATAGCACTTTTACGGCTTGATTTATCATTAAACAAATATTGTTAGAATGTAAGTAGCTTGCCTCTGCTCTTGCTTGTAGTAAAATTATGGTAATGTCACTGTGTCAGTATTTTCTATTTTATATACTTTTAAGTTATAGTAGAATCAAGGCTGGCATATTCTAAGGTGTACTTTCATGTAAAGTCACTGCAAGTACATGCATCCTATTTGGTGGTTTGATTAGCATAGCCTGCACAGAAGAGTAGACTGTGCCTTTTTGCTTGTTCAGTGCCAAAAACACTATGAAATCCTTGTGTTTGAGCCCGACTTTGTGGTGACCCTGTGTGCTAAAAGGATTCTAAATTGTATCCATTTTGCTCTGTCAAACTCCAGAAAACGCTCTGCAGCTGGGAAGGAAAACAAGCCAGACTATTGTTTAGTAGTCACCTTCTGAGGAATCTGCATCTTCACCAGTTTTTAGAGTGTACACAACAAAAAGAGTTCATAAAACCTGTTGCTCTGAAGAGCATACGGTTGATTTCTGCAGTGACTCTAAGTACATTGTACTCTGTGTAAGACTTTCCTGATATCCACTGCTTGTCAGACATACAGTACAAGGGAGAATTTAGGCTTTTATATATACAAAATCATAATGGGTTTTTCTATTCAACAGCGTTATTGTAGGCTATATAAATGTCAAAGGAAATTACTGAATATTAGATATTAGTTTTAATTTAGGATGTTAGTAGTATATTGAAGGTTCATATTGAAAGCTCAAGGCATTATCTTTAAAATAAAAAAATTAAATATGAATATAAACTTAGTATTTATGACTCCTTAATTGAAACCTTGCTATAATGTGGTTTTGCTAACACTTGTGAAGGGTGGGAAGCCTGAACCTGCCTTCTTGTTTGAGGCTCCTTCTCTGCTCAGTGATGATTTCATGGATTTTTGTTCTTATTTCTCTTGTTTGTCATTTCTTTGAAGCATACATAAAGCTCATGAAAATTCCAAGGGTTGGATTTGTTTATTTGTGTAATTTTCAAAGGAAACTAACACACTCATTTGTATGCAGGTATCAAACTGGTTTGCCAATGCAAGACGTCGCCTGAAGAACACTGTCAGGCAACCAGACCTTAGCTGGGCTTTACGAATAAAACTGTACAACAAATATGTTCAAGGAAATGCTGAACGACTCAGCGTGAGCAGCGATGACTCATGCTCTGAAGGTTTGTGGATGCTCTTTTTATCAATTTTAAATGGACTAAAATATATTTAGAAAGTATCAGATACCCTAAGTTAGCTCTAATTTTTAATCACAAAACACCCTTAGTGTATCCACCTTTACTTTTTTTGTGAATTTGGTGCCTTTTTTGTGTCCCAGCTACTACGCAGCCTTGCAAAGTGGGATTGTGTAAGTTCAAGGTGGCAGTCTGGCTGCATGTTATTATATTTCATTGTTACTAGACAGATAATTGTTTGTTCATTAGATTCTACAAGTTCATTCCTTTAATCTGCATTAAAGGAAAAAATTAATTACATTTGTTGGTATAAAGAAATGAGAAATCACTTGACTGTTACTTTCCTTGATGAAAGGGCTGTAGCAAAATCACATAATTAACAGGAGAATCTGATTAACAAGAGAATCTTATTAACTTTGATGGAACTTATTAGATGGTAGAGTGAATATTACTGTTACTTATTTTATGTATTTTACAAGCAAACATTTTCCATAAAAGATGCACTGAAATTCTTTTCTTATTCAAATTAGCAAATGCAAGATTTATTTTTTTTAAATGCCCTATATTTTTTTATAGAACATTTGTATTAATTAGGTCTGTAGGTACTTTTTTCAGGCAGTTGTGACATGGAGATACAAGGACAGGAACAAATGCTACAGAACATTGTCAAAAATTTGTAAGTGAATTTTCAAAAGAATACATGTCAATTTGCACTCAGTTGCAAATATCTTTGTTTCAATTTCAGTCTGTACTCACATTTCTTTTGTATGCACTTCCCATGAAAAGATTGGTTGCAGGACAATTAAAAGTGTACAGTTTAAGCAAATGCACCTAAATATGATATGGTATTCAGGAGAACCAAATTTCAAGTAAGAATTTGTTTTATTTACACATATTTTTAAATGCTTATCATTGATTAAGGCACTTTTCAGCTTTTTTCTACTTGCCTTGTGCTACTCGAGCGAAATAGACTCAAAGACTGTTTTGTACAGCTAATTAATTTAGAATAGCTAGAACATCTGAGAACCTTGGGAACTGCTATGAGCAGCGTGTGAACAGAAGAAAATGAAAATTAGTGTCCAATGCTAAAGCTGTTGTCTAATTTTAGTTATATTTATCACAATTCAAAACGTAGAGACAGCCTTGTGTTAAATATTAGGTATTCTGTGCATTACTGTATCTTTGTTCTTTTGTTTCAGATGGAGAAAATCCTTCAAGAAACCATATGAATGAAGGGGGATATAATAAACCAGTTCATCATGCTGTGATTAAAACTGAAAGTTCAGTAATAAAAACAGGAGTGAGACCAGAAGCAAGTGCCAATGAGGATTACGTGTCACCCCCCAAATATAAAAGCAGCTTATTGAATCGTTACCTGAATGACTCACTGAGACATGTCATGGCTACTAATGCAGCTATGATGGAAAAAACAAGGCAAAGGAATCACTCTGGCTCATTTAGTTCCAATGAATTTGAGGAAGAACTGGTGTCTCCATCATCATCAGAGACAGAGGGCAATTTTGTCTATCGGACAGGTAAGGGATTTTTTTCTATTTCATTGCTAATACAGCCAGCTTTAGTAGATGTTGTTATGTGGAATGAGTGTCACATGATTGTGCCTTTTATGAGGCTTTTGTCCATCCTCTCGTGTGGCAGTGGATAATTCCTGCCCATCCTCTTGCATGAGAGTAGGTCACTCCTGTCTGTCCTCTGGTATCAGGGTGGATAAATCCTGTCCACTCTTTCATTCTCTGGAGAAGTTCTGCCTGCAGATTACAGTTAAGTTCTGTTATTGACTGCTAGTGAAGCTGGTTTGCTTTTTGAGTGGATCAGTTTTTGAAATGACACAGACCATTTTTTGTCAGCACTAAGACAAGCCTAAAGAAGGAGAAAATTCTTGAGCATTCTGTTACAGTAAGGGAGGACTAGGGGAGGACTGAAGTACTCCATGGTCCCAGCAGGGAGGAAGAGAAGGGCTTTGAAATTTCAAGGTGGCTGTTTGTGACACTTACATGAGTCATATGTCCCTCAGTGGAGTGCATGTAAACACCTTTCCCTGTTGTACAGCATCTGTTCTGTCCTCAGAGTGCTTGTCTGGCCCTTTGCTGCTCATGCATCTCTTGAATACATGGATTAGACTAATTCTGGCATTACTCTCCAGACACAGTACACTGAGCTAGGGGGCCATTAAATACCTCGTCTTGATTTTTTTTGAAGGGTCACAGATAATTTATTATTAAAAACATGATTTAATACCATCCACTATGTTACCACTCAGAGGAAGGTACATGAGGTACCTGGTTCATGCCAGTAAACTGCTTCAAATCAGGGCAAGATCAGGATTTGCTCATATCCCTGTAGGAACAGGGAGTGCTGGAAAGGTCCTTTTGTGAAGCTTCTTCTGCGTTTCCTTGGCATGTAAGACAAAATAAAATTTTCATTTTCAAAAAAATGAAGTTTTGCATCCCAGTCTCCGAGGGTCTCCATGAGTGTCTCAGGGTTTCCACTCGTTGCAGTAGCCCTATGTGTTGTCTTGGGGGCTTTCTTAGCACGTTATTCTGCCAGGGGCTACCCTGTGATCAGCATCGCTTTTGGGATGGATACTGATGAAAAGTACTGGAGGACTTTGTACTGAAGTTAATACAGATTTAGATTTTGTACTTGATTCCCCTTGGCTTCCCTGGCGGGCAGGTTTGGGTGCCTTTGCAAATTCTCAAGTTTGCAGCCTTTGCTCTCCTTTTTCTGACATATTTCTGGTCTTTTTTTTTTTCTTTTTTTTGTGTCCATGTGGAGGGGCCACAAGGGTTTCAGCAGCCTGTTTCATGCTGGGGGTAGGAGGACGTTTGTGCATGCAGATTGTCGGGGATGACTGAGGAGAGAGTGGGGGTCCCGTAAAGGAATGGGATCTCGTGGGGAGCAAGAATAGTGCATGCACGACTAGTAAGTTTCAAAATTAACTCTCTCTGTTCATTTAACTTTTTTTTCTCAACATACCAAATACATTTGGTCTGCATTACAGGCGTCTTGTCTGCCAAGTTTTATTTTTAAGTGAAAAGTTACTCAAGAACAGATGCAGCAGCTCAGATATGTAAACTTATGTTTTTCTGTACTTTACACCGTAACCTAAAAATGAACACAATGGACACAATGACTTTTTAAAATTTGTAATAAATTTACCACTGGATTAAGTTGTCCTTGACAAGTTTCAAGCTGCACTGAAAAATATGGTCATTAATGTGAAGCCTGAAACAGGCACACTCTAACTGTGTAAGTTCACAAGCTGTGCTGTAATGACTAAAAACCAGTATATTTGTCCTTAAAGTTTGAAAGTGACATTCCTGGAACTCCTCTTGAGACTGTATTTAAGTCAGTTCCTAAATAGCTTCCTTAAAGTTTGGAAGTGCTATTGCCTTTAATGAGAACACCCAGCAGCTCTCAGGATATAGTTTTATTGGTTTTGCACTTCAAAAGCAGAGAAGCAGTAATCTGCATATAGAAAGAAAAAGATCATGTGTATACACAATATTATTTGTTATATCCTTCCTATGCATCTGTGTACATTCAGGAAATAATAGGTACAAATGGGCTTTTTTCAGCTACAAGATTAAAGTTCCATTAATGATTTTCTGATGATATTATAACATGCAGGAATGAAGCCCTTCATGAACAAAGCATATATTTTCAATTTGTCATCCATTTATGAAACCTATTTTCAAACAGATGAAATTATCCATGATTGTTAGATAAGAAGAGATAAATAAGGATGATTTATTTTTTTGATTTTTTTTTCTCTGTAATTTGAATACCTGGGATGGGAGTTCTCAGTGCTGTCGTGTATCAGACCTGTATCTGTGTTCTCAAAAACAACTATAATCCATTTGGGTTAAGCAAAATAGCAGGCTCTGACTGTACCACTCTTACCTTCCTAAAAGTGGCAAGTGTATTTTTAAGTGGGATATCACCATTTGCAAGGAGCTCCCCATGGCAATTTTTTTGTTGAATGAAACAGCTAATTTTTAACACAAAGGAGTTGGTGCAGGATTGTGAAATCCCTATTAGATGTTTTCATTTATGAAGACATTTTAAGCAGTATTTCAAAAAGCACAGGGTGAAAACTGGTCGATGTTTTATTTTTGAGAAATGTTTGGCAAGGTTGTTGTGTTCCTAAGGACAGGCATTCATCAGAGTTGAAGCAAATTCTTTATTGTGCTTCCCTGGAAAAGTAACTTTTCGTAGCAGATCATGAGTAGAAAACTCTGTCTGGTTCTGGTTATGGGCCCAAGTACATCAGTGTGTCTGGAGCTACTTCACTCTCACAGTGCCCAGGGTCAGCGTGGCCACGTGTGTCTCAATAGGCTGCGCCAAATTAACAGGGTGCAAGTGCAGTGTCCAATAACAAAAACAAGAAATTGCAGTTTAAAGTTTATAAGGAAAACGGGATGTAGCGTTTCCCATTTCAGTCATTAACATGCTTATAAACACGGGACCATATGCTACCCCAGCTTCATGCAACTGGGAAATCCCACATAAAGATCAAGGACGAGCTATATAACTGACTGTCGGCAGAGCGGCCTCATTTTATACCTCCATGCAATTATTGTGAGGTCGTGGGAAGTGGCTTCAGTGCTGGGGCAGGGGCAGCAAACGCTGAGTTGGAGCCCTTGCAGGTGCAGTGCCCACACTGCCATCTCCCCCAGCCCCTGGCCTGGGGAGCGGGAGGCGGCACAGGCGGGCGGTGCAGGGAGAACGGAGCAGCCGGGAAAGAGCGAAGGAGTGCTTGGGTATGTCACATATGTGAGTTTCTGTTGTAAGCTGATACGCTTAAGGCATACAGAAATGTGTTCACTTAAGGCAGAAAATTTCAGTTCGGATTAATCCTAGTGCCGGTATAATATATAAATATGTATAATTGGTCAAACATGTGTCTTAAACTGACCACCGAAAGGCTTGCTTCAGTGTTTTTGTTTAGTTAAAAATCCATGTTGGAGAACTAGTTTTCATTAACTCCTTGGCATGCTGTCACTCACAGCAGGTTCTCTGTGTGACAGGAATAACTGAAACCAGACTTGCCTATCTGTATTTGTTGTACAAAAGCTCACAGAAACAACAGTCTGACTGCAACAAGCACTTCAGAAATCTACCAGGAAAAGATCTAATAATGTTTACAGTGAGGCTGAACGTGAATCTAAAGCGGTAACGTCAGTCTTTGGGTTACGGATCACTAAAAAGCTGACTTTTCTGTAATTACGCTGCAGTGCTCCCTGAGTACCCTAACGCCAGTCACCTGCAGGAACAAAATGTTCTGCATCGTTACGGCACAAGGAAATGAAAAATTCCCAACTTTCTGGGATATCGCTGCCTAGCAGAGAAAGCAAAAATTAAAACGAGAAAAAGAGACAAAATAGCAGGACAGGGAGTCCTTTTTCTGCAGGCAGATTTTTCATTGATTTCACTTTATATGTCACTTAGCACAGTAGAAAAGCCAGAACAAATAAAAACGGTGAGGAAAGTAAAGATTTGCAGGCCTGGAAAGGAGGATGGCTTTTAAACAAACTCTTGAATGACTGGCTGATTTTTGAAGGTGTTTGATCTCTATTTTTAGATGTTTATACTCAGGAGTGTTCTCTGTTTCTGATGTTTTCATTACTACTGCCTTTTTCTTTCCTCTTGCCTTCCTTTCCTTCTTTCATTTGGATCCTGTAAAGTTGGTGATTTATAAAGCTTGATCCTGGGTCGTTTACGGCAGCATGCTGAGCACCTCTGATGAGACCCTCAGCACACTGTAGGATCAGACCCACATTCCTACAGAGCACTTAAATGTAAGGGTGTAGCCATGCACATAAGTACTATAGAGAGACACACACACAAGCTACAGAACAGTGCTATGATTTTGTGTGGTCCTTGCCAACTTTTCCTTGCAATTTAACATTTTTGGAAATTAACATGTAATTTAAAAATGAGCTATAAAGTTTGAAAGCATAATATGAACACAATGGAACCTGTTTTCAGAAACAACTCAAGGGACCCGCAAAAACTGCTCATACCAGTGACTTATGCAAGTTTGATCTAAACGGTGCTGGAGGCCTTGGGGATACTTTGAAATAAATGGTAACCTGGGAGAGCTGAAGGAGGTCCTTGTTGCGGATCCTAATGTCATCCAGAAGTGAAATGGAAAAGGTGAATGTCAAGTACAGTATTAAATGCACACAGCAGCATAATTGCAATTTGAAGGTTACACAGTGGGGATCGTATTTCTGCAGGAATTTTATTATTACATGACCTGATTGGTCAACACTAAAATAGCATAGAATTGAGAATTGAGGAGAAGATTGTGTTTAATTTACTGTTCTGTTGTTTTTTTAAAAGTAAGATTAAAAGGAAATGGCTTCACTACACAGGAAGTGTCAGGTTTAATATACCAGATGTGATAGCCCAAACTTGAGAATTATAAGGATCCTACCTGCTACCTGCTAGTTAAATTTTGTTCACTTTTTGCGTTTCTTTCAGTTCAAACAGCAAAAATCAAATAATCTGG